GCCGCGGAAGACGGGCGCGTCCTGGCGGGTCGGGTACGAGAACGTCACGTCGCGGAACTCCAGCTCCCCCTTCAGCTGCTCCGGCCTCAGCGCGACCCCTTCTGCGGTTCACAGGAAGAGGCAGCAAAAGAGCAGGGAAACAAAATATTTGGGGCTTTTTTAAGGCAGAAACACCGTATCTCCTTCCGCAGAGCTCAGCGCAGTGACTCTATGTCAGAGTGGGTCAGATTCTGGGTTGACATGCGGTCAGCTCAGAGCTGGGGGGAAAACTTTGTAGAAAGTGTGCTCTTCTCCAGTATAGTTATACATGTTGATGGGCAATGTTACTTTTAAAACCTAATGCAAGCAGCCATGTCACCCTGCAATTCACATCTGGCAGCCCACTGAAGCTCAGCAGGTGTGAGCCTGGCCAGTACCTGGATGGAAGACACCTGGGAAAAACTAAGATTGCTGCTGGTAGAGGTGTTAGTGGGCCCAGTAGGGGGCGCTCACCCTGCGGTCCGCGTGGGTCCTAATGCCCCAGTATAGTGATGGGGACACTATGCTGTAAACAGGCGCCGTCCTTCGGATGAGACATAAGACCAAGGTCCTGGCTCTCTGTGGTAATTAAAAATCCCAGGGCGTTTCTTGAAAAGAGTAGGGGTGTTACCCATATTGTCCTGGCCAAATTTCCCCCTGGCCTTTACCAATCGTGGCCTCCTAACAATCTCCATCTATGAACTGGCTTCATTACTCTATTCTTCTCCCCACTGAGAGCTGGTGTGTGGGGAGCATACTGGTGGTGGTGGAGGGGATCCCCATTACCTGTAAAGCACTTTGAGTGAAAAAAAAACACTTATATAGCGCTTTTCCAGAAAAGCGCTATATAAGTGTAAGGAATAATAATAATCATTATTATACAGCAACGGTACACATTTCTAATGTAAGGGGTTGCTTTTTAGAATGAGAAGAAATTAGGGAAAATACTTTTAAGAGGTAAAGTTTTACTTCATATAGTAATTATATGCAGAATGTGGATGGCAGTATGTGATTCCTTTTTAAAAGGTTTTCCCCAGTTTGTTCATTCAGAATGTAATCCCTCAAACAAGCAGCTTACAACTGTAATGCACTACTTTCTCAACAGTGTTTGCCTATGAAGAGGCATGTAATTACATGCACAGTGGGCATCAATGTCAATAGAAAACCAGACTGACCATTGAGAGGAAACTCAGGCTTCCTGTCCAACAGCTCCCACAGTCGCACCCCAGCTCCAAACCCCTTCATCAAGCCAGAGTAAAAGGAGCTAAAACCTATGCAAACAGGGGAAACCAAGTTACTGTACTGCATAACTCAGCCACAAGTTAGAATGGTCCTTCATAACTGTACTGCAATGAAATGTACTGCATGTGCAAGCTGCCTTGGATGAAAGCCGTGCAAGTAAATAAATGATATGTCAAAGATGACAGATACAACTGAGCTATTACGAGCTATTACTATTTCACATGCTGTACAAGCTCAAAGAATTTTGGAATAAAACTCAAAATAGTCATTTTTAATGAATGTTATTAATATTATTACATACAATAGCAGCTCCATCCTCTTTCAGTCACTGGGTTATCCTTAGAGCACCACAGCAAGCTGGAGTCTGACCTGACGAGTGCAAGACAGGACAAGAGCAGGCTCCTGCTTGCTTCCCCTATTCTCTTCTGTGATACCCTTGCAAATCTTGGACATTATCTTGAGAGCAGGAATAGAGGCCGAACCATCAAAGGCCTTGGAGCACAGAACGCATTCTAGGCGTTGTCTGAAAGGACAGGGAATCCGGTTCGTATCCTAAGTGCTCAGACAACAGCACCTGCAGTGGCTTAGTGATCCAAAGGGAAGGACATTCTCTGTTGGGTAAGAGTGCCTGTCTACAATTCAAAGAGTGTCAAGAATTCAAGAGCTGACAAAAGACAACAGGGCACTGGATATCTACGTGGACAAGCAGGAATTACTTGTTGTTGGCATGGATCCACATAAGGATGTCACAGGCCCAAAACAGTTGCCACTGGGCAGAGAGCTCCTTGAAAAGATAGGACGATCTACAAAACCTGGAGATGTAAGTGCCCACCATGAAGTACAAAGAGAATGTCATTCCCCAGTGGGACTCTTGAGAGAAGAGAGGACGCTCTTTGCCAACTAACTGGCTGACTCTTTTTCCTGAGGATGCAATTCCACAGTCTTATGATTCCTTGGTCTCGTACCCGAGATGCTCACACCAACCCAGAAGGTGTACAGAAGGAAGGACGAGATCTGTCCAATGGTCATGTCCTCACTGCCCATCAGCAACCCGCCCTTGTAGAGCACAGCAAGCATGGAAAGATTCATGCTCAGGCCTACCTGCAAGAAACAAGGGCAGCACTGAGCAGCCTTTCTCATTGAGCCTGTGTCCTTCATTGCTGTCCGATTCTATGTCGCTAGCGCATGCAGGAAGGAGGAGTCTTTTTGAGAGCTTGAGGTTTAAGAAACCACTTCCCAGAAAAGATAAACATCAAAGCACATGACCCAACCCCTGCTCCACTCCTGACAGTTTGAAAAGCCTCTAAATCGTGTCCGCAATAGGGCATCGACCAACTGCTTCCTCTGTTGTCACTGAACATTATGTGTTCATGGTTCCCGTGCTCTTAATAACTCACTGTTCCAAAGAAGCCAGCTTCAAGCAACGCCTCCCTCTTGGCCAGTTGGAGGACGTAGTCCACTTTCTTCACATATTTCTCCACCTCCATCGACTCTTTCCCAAACGCACGCACTGTTCTGACATTGCCAATCCGCTCTTCAGCCAGCTGCAGACCAGAGAGAATGGGAGATTGTTTCAAAGAGAGCACTCAGATGAGTCATTTTAACACTGTCAGTATTCATTGGATTCATATTTGAACATGTAAACCCTCTCTGCAGATTGAAAGCTCATCCCAGCAGGGTGGGAGTATTGCCATGGGCACCTATTGATCCCTGCTTTTCAATTCCTGGAAGCAAAGGGGCAAAAGGTATGTACCTTATGTGCTAATAATAACAATAATTTATAATAATTGCTTACACTTATATAGCGCTTTTCTGGATACTCCACTCAAAGCGCTTTACAGGTAATGGGGACTCCCCTCCACCACCACCTGTGTGCAGCCCCACCTGGATGATGCGATGGCAGCCATAGCGCACCAGTACACTCTCCACACACAAACTCTCAGTGGGGAGGAGAGCAGAGTAATGAAGCCAGTTCAGAGATGGGGATTATTAGGAGGCCATGATTGGTAAGGGCCAATGGGAAATTTGGCCAGGACACCAGGGTTACACCCCTACTCTTTTCAAGTAACACCCTGGGATTTTCAATGACCACAGAGAATCAGGACCTCGGTTTTACATCTCATCCGAAGGACGGCGCCAGTTTACAGTATAGTGTCCCCGTCACTATACTGGGGCATTAGGACCCACATAGAACGCAGGGTGAGCGCCCCCTGCTGTCTCCACTAACACCTCTTCCAGCAGCAACCTTAGGTTTTCCCAGGAGTCTCCCATCCAGGAACTGACCAAGCTCACACCTGCTGAGCTTCAGTGGGCTGCCAGTTGTGAGTTGCAGGGTGATATGGCTGCTGGCTGAATAGCCAGGTTCTTACACTTAGAGTTGCAAGGCTTGAGCTAGTGGTCGAGTTACTTACTGTATGCAGCTATCAGGTTATTCCACAATCTCATCTTTCATTCTAGGTCACTCATCAATTTTTATTCTTTGAAATAAAATCAGAATCTCATTGATTTCTGATAAATACAATATTAATTCACAAGACGGTTTGTAGTTGTAGATGCAACTATTTTTTTTTTAACAAAGCCGCTAGCGAAGTAGTAGCGGTGCTACATTCTGATGAGCCTCAGTCACCTGAGTGGAGTCAGCCAGTGCGTCCTGTGTGCGCTTGGACAGAGAACGCAGGTACCGCCCATAGACCACAGCCAGGACAGCCAGCGGTGGCACAATCATTAAGACAAACGCTGCCAGTTTCGGTGACATATAGAACTAATGAGGAGAGGGAAACAGAAGATACAAAACAACCATCAACCCCCACAACCCTTCATCACAAAAAAATACTGCATATACTACACATTGATTTGCATGCACTGTACACTACTGAAACGTGAACATGATGTTACGTGTTGTGTAAAATAAGAAATATAAGAAGGATTACAAACAGTGGAGGCCAGTGGGCTTGTTTGGTAGTTAGTAGCTAAACCATCAGAAGTTCTTATTCAGCTGTTTCTTGAATGAAACCGAACAGCTTTAGGTCACAGCTTTAACAGCATGGCTGGGTAGCTTCTTCTATACTCCCACATTCATTTGGGTAAAGGAACGCCTGCTCTTCTCCCGCTTAAATGTGCTTTGCTTTGTTTCTTCTCAAGTGGCATCAGGTAAGCCACACCTGTAAATTCCTCAACATGCAACTGCCACAGCACAACTGCAAAACAAAATGCCTGAAAGTCCGTGCGTTTGGACTCGGGTGAGACAATAGAAATTCTCGCCATAGGGCAGCCTTGTGAACGCCCCAGACTTTCCCTGGCCAAGCTCTTTCACTTTCGTGCTGGAGAAGTTACAAAACAAACAAGGCAGGGAGGCAGCAGAGCAGAAACAAGGCTGGTTTTGGTCACCTTGTGCGTGATCTTTGATTGTCCTTCTTCCTTAAATAAAATAAATACCGACATGCTTTTGTTTGAGATATTTTTTAATATTTATAAGATTTATTTGATCATGCCTGATCTGTTGAGACTTTCATTAGTCTGCCTCTGCCCAGTCACCTATTATCACTAAAAGCTAAAATCTCCTTGTCAGATTTGAGTTGATTTCCTGCTTCAGATACTGTATGAAAACGCTCTTGACTACGGCTGTCCCTAATTCTGAGAGGCCACAGTTGTTGTTTTTAGTGCAATTAGAGCATCAGCTATTAGTAAAAGGCAAAATATTTAGAAGCCAAAACATGCTGAATAGAGTAAGACTAAGAAAATACGCATCGTGTGAAAGTTACCTTACCGTACAGCAGCAGATTCCCACCCTAGACTTGGAGGGAAAATGTCTTCTGTTTTTTGCTAAGCATCAATCACTAACTGACTTCAGTTTGCTATTTGAGGTATATTTGTAAAATTCTCTTGTAAGGTGAATTGGGATTTGTAATCGTTATCAGTCCTCTATACATTTCTTAGTTTTAGAACGGCCTTCTTTCAGGCCCTCATTCCTGAAACATAACCAACTGGAGCTCTGCAGAAGGAAAAACTGCTCATCGGTTCCTCTAAAACCAGAATTAGGAATCACTTCTATACTGTAGTTTTCTACTGTAGTTTGCTTTGATGCCTGTACTGTAGGATTTTGTTTTTGGTGTGAAGGATGCGGACATTGTGTCAAAAAGAACATCCACAGGAATTCCCTTTGATAAGGTGTATAGGATGAAAAACAGGAATGCACCAACAACGGTATTGAAGCAACATGGGTAATATGTCCGTGGCATTAAAAGGCTAATTCAAAGTATAGAGGAGAAACAACTGAAATGGATTTACAAGCAGCAATGGGTGATTTCAATACCCGGTCCGGTCAGCACTTTACCATCATGCCCACACCAGCTGTGGCCTGAGCCACAGCGCGGAGCCCGTCCGAGAGGTTGTCTGTGATCGAGTGCCCGATGACCACAGTGTCCGCGGAGAGCCGGTTGATGAGCTCGCCGGTGCGCGTCTTGTCGAAGAAGCCCACCTCCTGCCTCAGGATGGAGTTAAAAAGGGATCCTCGTAGGTTTCGCACTATCTGTTGCCCTGAAAGAATTATGACCAAAGAGTTCCAAGTTTTTATCCTTGCAACAGCAAACAAATAGCAGCGAGAGACAAATGTGAAACCTAAGGCTATTTGATCATTTCAGTTTCCACTGTACAGTTCATATAGAAAGGGATGTTGAACCTGGTGTCCAGACTAAATTCTGCATTTGCACAATCTGCCCTCTCTACTCCGTCTGATCTGCTGTGTAAGGGGTCTGCAGGTGCAAAATGGCTGCTGTGTGTCACATAGGAGGTACTGTATGTGAATTGGGTCCCTCCTGTATATGAAGCACTTTGGGATCCTTTAGGGTGAATGTAAATGTAAATGCAATTAATTATTATCTACATGATCATTTAGAATTAGTAGCTTACATACGACAGTTATCTCCCCCACTATTAGGCATCACTAAAGGTCACTCAACCCAAAGACAGAGCAGGAAGACGGCTGCACTCTGCAGTCTCTCATGAAAAGAGCGTACCTGCGCGGTTGATGAGGTAGAGGCGGGCGGTGTTGGCCGCGGCGCCGCAGAGGAACACGCCTGAGAGCACGGCGCACAGACCCGTCAGAGACGCGCCCAGCTCCTGAGCAGGACTGGAATTGATGGTGTCAACCACTCTGCCCAGGAAGAAGGGAGCCGACATGGTCACCGTGCTGGAAATCACCAGGAAGCCCAGGGCCGCTGAGGAGATATGGAAACAATCTACAACTTCGGAAGGGCAAACCAGGACTTTTTAAAGGGGAACTCCAAGGCTGTTTTTATTTTTTCGGGGGTTAGAAAGAATCAGCATTGATGAGTGCATTTCAAACCACGGTGAAAGTAAAATGTACACAGTAACGTGTAAAACCTCCAATTTACATCAGAGAATAGATTAACTTTCCAGGTATGCGCAGTGCCATAATCTGCACTTCAGAATGAGGCAACAAAACTTCCAGTGAGGTGAAATAGCCCTAATGCATTGCAAACAAGCAGGCTTGTGAATATACTGTATCTCTTTATTACTTACAGGGGATATAAAACGTCTACACACCCTTATTGAAATTGCAGGTGTTTGTGATGTTAAACCAGAAATCAAGATAACTCATATCAGACATTTTTCCATCTTTAAAGTGACCTTGCAACCAACACAATTCAAGAGACAAACAAATAGATAATTACTAGGAAAAATAATTGAAATTGAAACCTACAACACCCTGGATGCAAGTAAAATGTTGCGATGCTGTCAATTAATTTATTTTTCTACCTAGACTTTTTAACCGGTGTGAGAAATTGGGACTGCAGTTACCCTTTGAAGCTTATTACATTTTTATTATTGCAATCGCAAACAAAAACCAATGGACTGTTTGATCACTTAAGTTTCCATGGCACAGTTTATAAGGGAAGAGGTGTTAAAAACAGGTATTAAAACTGATCATATGGATGGGGACCAGCTTGGTTTAGCAAAAGCATGTTAATTGCAGATCTCGACAGCCACGTTCCTTGCTAAACCCATCCTGGAGCTCATGACAGCTCCTTCTGCTCTGAAACATTCGAACAGACCTCAGTGTTCATCATCTAGACAGGTGGATGTTAACCTGCGTGGATCCGGCCTGCCACACCTCCGTCACTGCCTGGAGACCAGCTGCAGGGTCTTCAGCAGGGGGAACACCATTCGTCGATGATTCGCTCCCTTACGCCTCCAAGAGGCGGGGAACTGACAGTGACGTCTCCCTGCCACCCTCCTGCAGCTGGCCTCTTTCTAATTAGGGGTTTTTGGCCACCAGTTCCCATCTCTTCTCCTCGGCCTTAGGCAGAAGCTTCTTTTTTTTCCATGGACTTTAAGGTCCTCATGCTCACCTTTAAGGCTCTGCATGGCTTGGCACCTCAGTAGCTGTCTGAACTATTATCACCCTACTTCCCACCTCACAACCTTTGGTCTTCTAATTCTGGTCTCCCAACTGTCCCCCAAGCCCGTCTACACTCTATGGGTTACAGACCCTTCTCCTGTTATGCCCCTAAACTCTGGAACTCTAGCCCTAAGGATCTCAGAGAGTCACCCTCTCTAAACTCCTTCAAATCCAGACTCAAAACCTTCTTCTTTAGAAGAGCCTTTACTGAACTGGTTCCATTCTTCACCCCTCTGCTTCTACTTTTCTTAGTACCACCATCCACAGTCTCATCTGTGTATTGTAATTGTGTTTTATCTTGTGTATTCTTCTTATTTATTGTTGTCATTCTGTAAAGCACTTCGAGAAGCCACCTTTAAAGGCGCTATATAAAATAAAGTTTATGATATTATTATTTTTTCCTTGGCTAAATCCTTTGCTGCTCTCTTCAGTGTTATGCCAGCCACTCCCACACCCCCAAGGAGGCATAACCTTCCAGATCGAATACTTTCTGTAATACCAGCCTGGCTGCAAACTGCAGCTAAAGCAAACTGTACATCTCCATGGAAGATAATCCAGATACATTGCTGTGGGCTTTGCCAGAAAATAAACCAAGAAGTGATGTGGAAAAAAACATTTCCAGAGGATGAAACAGGTCTTTAAAAACAGAGATGGGCCTCACTGTATCTGACACTGATGAGAACTGTAAAGCTGAAATTACATTTTAGATTAATGCAGGGCAACTTGTAGAAATAACAGTCCTTTCTGGGGTTCATGCACCTTCACATATGAGCAGACTGAGTGTGATGAGTAATACAATGTGAAAACAAACACTGAAAAAGAGTGTTATTTTGCCAAAACAGCAGAAACGGTAAAACAAAGAGCAGCTGGAGCACTATTTACAACAACTAGTCAGGAAAAAAAGGAGCGCTGTTGTGTTTCCTTATTTAGTCGTCATCAGGGGATTTTCACTTTCTAAAACATTCTTCTACAAACCAGGGGTCAAAAAACATCATACTGTACCTGTCAGGCTCATTTTTAGAATGATAAATTTAGGAAAAGTGTTTTCCTAGCTCATAATTTCACTTGTTTGCTAACACCGCTCCTCCTACGTTGACTCAAATACACACATATATCATAAACGGTACGTTCTGTGTTTTCTGTGGTGTATATCGTGAAGGCTCCCCTAAACTCTTTAACCCAGGACAATTCTTTCTTCCTAAAATGAGGAGGTCCTAATTAAAGTTAAGGTGAGAGAGAGAGAGCACTTTCCGGACACGTTACTGTAGCACTATCTTATTAATGTCAGGTGACCCACCTGTCAAACGCCAGCGTTCTGGGTGAGCCAGCTGAAGAAGCCTTTTTGCGTCTTCAAACAGATACCGGCTGGACTTGTGCCCTTTTCCCTCGCTGTCCAAGCCGTGCTCACTCGCTTCTTCCCTCGGAGGAGAAGTGCTGTAACTGTGAAACCCGCCTGAGGAGGCGAGGGGATTTCTCCCCGGAGCTGTCGGCGAGGTGAAGGAACTTTTGCTGGATGCAACAGAAGCGCTCGGTCTATTGAAGCGTCTTGAGGGCGGTGGGTCCACGGGGGCCATGAGCCTATGTCTTATTGCCTTCAAAAGGAAACAGCTTTTCGCATCGCTTAGCCTTCTGCTCCTGTGGCCTGCGAACCGGGACAATCCCCGAGTCCTCTCCAAAGTCGCACTCTGTCCAGCGCCCAGACACCTCGTCCCCTGCAGCGCCTGCACTGGCAGGCTTGTCGTCCTGGGTCTGAAACCGCACGCAAGAATCCACGAGTTCATCGTTACGAACCTCTGGGGCTAATAATAAAAAGAAGATGACTTCAAACGATCACAAAGATAAAATGTCCAAATTCCGAGAGAAAAAGTTTTACGTTCTCTGAGACCATCTTGATTTTCATTGGGATGAAGACAGCTGTTGAGCTCATTGTAGACTTATTGTTAAAAGCTAAACCCAGTACAGTATCGTAAGATTTACAAACCTTCCCCCCCGGATAATCACCAGCACTGCTGTCTGTATCTATTGTAGTTTTCAGTGCGCGTCCTTGTGGTCCACACTCGGCTACGCGCTCCCTCACTAGTGTCAAAAATGAAACCAAAACAACACTTTTATGATCGTTTTTTTCTGTCTCTTACTGGTTATGTTTTACTGACGGAACACCGCCTCGTTAGGTACCCTAGCCTGGTAAAATACAGTATGGGTCGATTCCATTGACTTTCAAAATTGAAAATTGTAGGAAATATATATTTCAAATAATCGGTGTGCGATTAAGAACACAATGTATAAACATAACATACATTTTTACGTAAGACGTGGAATATATGTCACGAAATTACTTAACACAATTTGGTACTTGTGTTGGATCTTCAGTGATCTCAAATTTTAGTAAGGTACAGTATTATTGGTCACGCTGAGGACCTTTAAGGACCTGGTATACAGGTAGGTACATCCTGGGCTTCCAAAGATCTGTACCCACTTGCATCACAAATCACTGATCTCTATCCGTGTTCTTACTCTGCCCTGTCAGTTTGCAGTGTGTCCCTCACTATCGAACTCTCTTCTATACAATCAGGGGAAAAGCGACATTTCCCAGAAAGAAATACTTCTCGGATACGTGCTTCACACCGGCAGCAAGCTAACCAGGTGCTTGATTTTATTGCTTACTTGTTTGTCTCATGGAAAGTCTTTTGCTGTTATTTTTAAAATAAAGTACGTTTGATAAACTGATCCAGGTAACAAAAGTGTTCTCCAAATTTACATGTACAGTACACTGTACTTATGTGACATTAAATGAAAGACAATAGCTGCATTTATACCTAGAAGAATACAGAAAAACACATGTGGTGGGAGATTTAGCATAGTGGTTCCATATAACAGAACTGGTAGACAACTTTCTGTTGGACAGCAGAAATTATACAGTTGAGATTCCGCAATATTTTAAATTATGATGTAACGGACCCAAACATGGAAGTAAGATGGCAACAAGAAAGATTTGACAACAAATCCAAATGACCATGATTAAAATAAAAAGATTTAAGATTAAAAAAAGGCACAACAAACAAGACTCCGTCTGCCTCAGCAGAATACAGCGAGACCCCTGGACAGAACTAAGAAAGAAAGTTACTGGGATGACAGCGATGCTGTAGATAGAAAGAATATCTAGGAAGGGATATTTTGTACACGTTTATTTTGCCTCATCCAGCCATTTCTGGAAATAAGACTCTGTTTTGCCTTCAATAACATGGCTGGGTGGCTCGTCCCATACTCCCAGAAGCTTTTGTGTAACTCAGACAAGTGCTCGACGAGGTCTGTATACACATTTTAGACCCCTTAGGCCCTGCCCAAATCAGCTTGTCAGCCTCTGCTTATGACGTGCAACTTTCTCCTCAGCTCTTGTACAATGCCTGCATTTCCAAAACCCCCTGCTTAAGAGTAAACACTTGTTACAGTTAAACTGCTATAACACCCAATAGAAACAGCTATAAGCCATCTCCTTCGCAAAAGCAGCTTCGGACTTTATAAAATAGCACGTTCCCTTTTCGTCATTTCTTTCTTTACACCCTTTAAGTCCATCTGCCTTTATCTAGCAGCTGGGAAATGACTCCTACAGCACACCAGGGAGTCCTGCAGCCTCTTAAGTGAAGATTTGAAATGCTTTTCCACATGAGAAACAGAAACATTGCCCCGTGAGAAATGTGTGCCTGAATGTGGGTCTCTTTAATCCAGCGATCCACCCTCCTGGTCCTGGAGAGGCTCTTTTTCAGTTTTCAAAATACACTTACCTGTTTTTTTTTTTCAGTAAAAACAACAGACTTGAACATACTGTACATGTACAGTAATATCACAACTCAAGAACTTTATGCCCAAAACATATTTATCAACACTGTAATTAGACGGTAGCCAGCTACAATGTATTAAAATCCCGTTTCTATGGTTTCTGAGAGTTATTTTTACATTATTATAAGATATCAAGTGTATAGGCGATTGCTCTATTATTCCTATCCACAACATTACAAAAATACCTTTAAAAAACAATGCTCAGGAAATGTGTACCTTTACAAACAAATAATCTCTGTTGTTTTACATGCCTTTTTGTGATTGAGAGTTTTAACCTTATTGGCCACCCCTAACTTTGAAATCCTGCATTACAAACCTCCACTGTACTAACATAAAACACAGTGCGTTGTTATTATTATTCACTTTGTGTAAAAATATATTTCGCACAACGTTTTCCCAAAATTGAAAGGAAAAAAAAAAGACCAAGTTGTTACAGATAAAACCCCCATGGCCTTTCTCATGGCCCTGCTTTTGAGTAGCGTGTCAAGTTACAAATCAAAACTTCAACTCTACCCCCCGATCACCAACTACAATCCCAGTAGCTTAAGGTGGCATCTTGGGTGCAAAAGGGCTGGTTAATCCACCCAGGAATAGAGGAAACCCACCTCTGTGCTGGCCGAAATTGTGACCTGATACACACCCAGTTGCCGCCCGCACTTTATTATTTCGCTCTTTGAGACCGACTGTTTCTGTTGAAAAGCACCTCACAATTTTAAGATGGCATTGCTATAAAACGACACCCAAAAAGTGACACATTCCGGCAACATTTTGCGAAAATGCACGATCTTCCCAAGTCCAAAATAATTTGACCAAATGATGTCCACTGGAGCGGACACCCACTCCAGTGCAGAACACGGTTAATGTTTGGTCACGGGGTGTAACCACTGTGCTATATCGAGAGCTCTGTCATTCTGCCAAGGCTAGTTTTGTAGTGATAGTAGTTTTGTAGATCTTGAAGTTGGTTTTTATCTCTCAACTGTCCAGGACGAATGACTGACCAGGTATGGGGGGTTTAGTTTACAGGAGAGCAGAGCAGTTAAAAATGTGAACCACAGTGACAAAGGCACCAGCCGGAGTCCC